AGACATTGTGCTTCCAATAAGTACAGGCTGAGCCCAGGCAACCCGATTCACAGGGAATCCTAACTTCTTCAGAAAATCTGAGTACACTACAAAATAGCAGCTTGTCACAAAAGATTTTTGAGTGACTTTAGTATAAATGAAATACGAATATTTTGTTGGGTTCACATGTTTGTCCAAAAAGTGTCAGTTTTTTTCAATATATTCTAAAACCAGCAACACTGCCTTCCTGTACTGAGCTCTCAAAACTATAAACCAAGGGAAGTCATTGCTCAAATTCAACTATATAAAGCACAAAGGATGTCTATTACACATCAGGGCCTCCACAAGCACCAGGGCAACCCAGATTAGCTGTGTCAGCTGTTTCTATGCCAGCTAAAAATAAACCATGTACACGTATTAAAAATCAGATATTGGGGAAAACAGCTAACAGCCATTGTTATTCCTATAATTGGTGCCAATTTCCAATTCCAAACCAAGAAAGACTTTCCATTTCAGTCAAAACTCTAATTTAAAAAACCCTTCTATTGATTGTGCTGTTTTTCCTGTGACATTTTTATATGTTACCTTTTTTTGAATTTATATATCCTTTTCTTTTTACTCTTTTGGTGTACATTTCTATGGATTTTAACACATATACAAAATTTGTGTGACCACCACTAAAATCAGAATACAGAACAATTCCACCACCCCCAAATCTCATACCACCCCTTTGTAGTCACACATTCCCACTCCCAACCCAGGAAACCCTGGACTGTCCCTCACTATGGTTTTCCTGTGATTTTCTAGTTTTAAAAATTTCAAAAATTATATTAATATCTATTATATTAATTCCATTATGTTAATTATATTAATTACAGTAGTCCTCCCTTATCTGCAGGAGATATGTTCCAAGACCCCCAGGGGATGCCTTAAACCACAGATAGTACCGAATCCCTATATATACTATGTTTTCTCCTATACATACGTCCTTGTGACAAATTTTATAAATTAGACACAGTAAGAAATAAGCAACAGTAACTTCTAATTTATTATTTTAATAAAATAGAACAATTAAAACAATATACTGTAATAGAAGATATATGAATGTGGTCTCTCTGTCTCTCAAAATATCTTATTATACTGTATATACCCTTTTTGGTTTTGTTTTGTTGTTTTTTTGTGTGGGGGGGGTGCGGGCAGAGGGAGAGAAAGAATCTTTTTTTTTTTTTTAAGATTTTATTTATTTATTTGACAGAGAGAGAGAGAAGGAACACAAGCAGGGGGAGTGGGAGAGGGAGAAGCAGGCTTCCCGCAGAGCAGGGAGCCCGATGTGGGGCTCGATCCCAGGATGCTGGGATTATGACCTGAGCTGAAGGCAGACGCCCAATGACTGAGCCACCCAGGCGACCCGAGAGAAAGAATCTTAAGCAGGCTCCACACCCAGCACAGAGCCCTACATTCACTCAATCTCACGACCCTGAGATCATGACCTGAGTTGAAATCAAGAGTCAGATGCCTAACAGTCTGAGCCACCCAGGCGCCCCCGTATACAACCTTCTTGGGATGATGTGAGATGACCAAATGCCTACATGATGGGATGAAGGTGAGGTGAATGACAGAGACATGACACAGCGCCAGGCTACTACTGACCTTCTGACAATACATCAGAAGGAGGATCATCTACTTCCAGACCGTGGTTGACTGTGGAACTGTCAACTGACATCGTGGAAAGTGAAATGGCAGATATGGGGGAACTACCAGATAAAAATTCCTCAAAAAAGTTTGTAAATGGAAAGGTTACTAGATCTTTAAGAAATCACCTCTTTAGTGACCTCTAGTGGAAAAAAAGAAAATTGGTAAAGTTGTCCCCCACTAGTGCCACAGATTAGTTCCTCATGCCTACGGAAATTTTAGGCTGATGTGCATTTCCATTCGCTTAAATCAACAGCACTCCACTTGAACTCCCAAGGTTGATTTACAAGGGGCTCTCTAACCTAATCTGCACTTTTCTCTCCCCTTCACTGTACTGTCCGGTAATTAATAAACTTTTGCATGCTATGCCATGTGGCAAAGACACTATGCAACTGAGCTCATCATTCCCTAACTTGTCTCTCAAATCTGCATTTCATTAAGCGCAGCAACCTGACCTCAGGCATCACACAGAGAAAGACCGCAGCACCTTTCCCCGCCATTTTGTTACCAAAACCCAAAGGTGTTCAAATGTCCACAAGAGGACACTAGCAGGGAAGGGACACTCCTCTGGACGGACATCATGCCACTGCTGTAACTGATCAGTCCTTCTGTATGTACCAGCGACAACAATGACTGTTTCTGGAACACAAAGAACCTAAGCCACTTCCGGAAATGGGCTGGTGGGAAACAGAAAAATCCCCGCAGGCCATTTGGTTCATCTGATTCCAGCACACTCACTTTAAAGTGATTAAAAATTGAGCTTGGAAAGCAATCTCCCTTCTGCACATACTCACACACCACCCCCACGTACACTTACACGTTAGTGTGGAGCTGGAATTCGTCAGTCTTGTAGCCAACCGCAAAGTTGCTCTGGGTCACTCGAGACTTTGCAGTCTCAAAATTCATCTGGTAGCCAGCCAGCCAGCCTTCATATCCCAGCACCACAGCACCCCGGACTGAAGGACCGGCAATGTCGAAATCCACGTCACAGCCCAGGTTGATGTGCTCCCGCTTATACCCTGTCTTGATTTTAGCATTTTTTTTCCTGAAGGAAAAGAAACTGTATTAAGATCACAAGCTAACTCACCTTGCAACAACCATGCCAAGGAGTGTAAAAAAATTTGTTTTAAATCCCAGTTTACATGGAGGGATGGGGGACAAAGTCGGAGCCCAGATCTCCCTTATGCAGCTGCTGTACCACAAGCTCTCTAACCAGAATCCAGTCTGCAGAAATGCCACAATAATGAAGTGAGAACAGAGGCAGGAAAAGCTTGGGGAAAAAAAGCGCCAAGTAATTTTCTTTTACTAACCTCTCCCTATGCTTAATGTAATGGCCTACACAGGCATTTATTAGGGAGAATGCCACCATGTAATTATGAAACAGATGTTTCTTCGCTATTCTCCATGTATGAAAAAGATACAGTGTATCTGTCATGAAGGCAGCTAAAGAGCAGCTTTTTTTTTTTTTTTTTAAGATTTTATTTTATTTATTTGACAGAGAGACAGCGAGAGAGGGAATACAAGCAGGGGGAGTGGGAGAAGGAGAAGCAGGCTTCTGCAGAGCAGGGAGTCCAATGTGGGGCTCGATCCCAGGACCCTGGGATCATGACCTGAGCCGAAGGCAGTCGCTTAACAACTAAGCCACCCAGGCGCCCCAACAGCAGCTTTTAAGGAGATGGTTGCTTTACTTGGTGACTCACTTAGTTAGTAAAGAAAGAAAGAAACACTAGATAGATCCCGTCTAAGTAAATATAACAGATAGCTTTTAATTCAGTATTCATGAGATCCCAGTGAGAGACCTGGATACTGATGTGCAACCTGGGACCCTGCAGGCATGGGGGCTGGGAAGCCCTGCGAGACAGAACAAGTCCGCAGGTCTTGTCTGCTAATCCCAAATTTGCATATATGACCAGATCAGTGCCTCCTGTGCCTACTGCTCAGGAAAGGTAGGTGAGTCATGTCCCCTGCAAATATATTACCCTGCCTTTACCAAAGGTCAACACGGGAAACAAGACCACACCTATCAAATAAAATTTAGACTATTTTCTGCTATTCAGCTACAAAATGGACATCCTCCCATAGCAAGGTGCATTCTCAGCAGCGATTGGGATCTACACAGCCTTGTCCATCCCAATCTCATTCACACTGAGATTAAAGCTTCATCCCCAGCACCCAGACTCTGGACTCTAAATACCATTCTCTCCTAAAAGGCACAGTGCCCCTTGAAGAACAGCAGACTACAGGTCAGGACAGGAAATGTGCGAGGTGAGCTTGAAGCATTGATCAAAACTATCAAAGAATACTGGGGTTGGCGCACAATGACTTGAGAGCTAGCCTGAAGAGATTCCTAAGGGCTTCAAACATGAAACAATGAGTTCATCTTTAAGAATAACACCAGCAATGGATTGAAACATAACAAATATGTATAAATCTATGAATTCATTCATACTGACACTTAAAACACACACATCAGTCATCTTCAGAGACTAGAGAACCAAAGTGTTACTTTGAAACAATAAATTAAAAAGGAAGCAAACATTTATTCCACCTTTCCTACACTAACTCTATCTCAAGGTAACCAACAGTTTATGAGAAGTCTCTTTTTATTGAAATATTCTAGCTAGGGCGCCTGGGTGGCTCAGTTGGTTAAGCGACTGCCTTCGGCTCAGGTCATGATCCTGGAGTCCCGGGATCGAGTCCCACATCGGGCTCCCTGCTCGGCAGGGAGTCTGCTTCTCCCTCTGACCCTCCTCCCTCTCATGCTCTCTGTCTCTCATTCTCTCTCTCGCAAATAAATAAAATCTTTAAAAAAAAAAAAAAAAAAAAAGTTTGAAATATTCTAGCTAATACATGAAGAATGAATGATTAAAGTAGAATTATCACCAATTTATAATCCCTAATGAATGAATTGTGAAGAGCACTAACTTTAACATACAAAGAACAAACCAAGCCTTCTACGTCCAAGTCATGGAAGCATAGAGCTCCACTTACATTTTACCACTACTTTACCAATTCACAGTAAACATGGGGGACAGAGGAACAAGTTAAATGGCACCACAGAGATGCAAACAGCAAAATTCAGTCTATATGTACTCTTACGGGACAAATGATCTAGTTTCAACAAATAAATTCCAAGGGGAGTGGGGAAAGGAGGAGAATCTAAAAATTAAAGAGATTTAAGGAGCCATATGAACTGCAATTCTGCATGGACAATTTTTGATTCTGTAAAAAAAAAAAATTGAAATCATGTAAATTTGATCAGGCTAGAGATTAATTTTTTACAATGTAATCATATTGTGGTTATACTTTTTTAAAAAGGAATCAATATTGTGCTTGCTTCAGCAGCCCATATGTTAAAATTGAAATGATACAGAGAAGATGAGCATGGCCCCTGCACAAAGATGACATACAAATACGTGAAGCGTTCCATTATCTTTAACTCTAGGGAACAAACTGATGGTTATCAGAAGGGAGGGGGGAAAGGGATAGGAGGGCACTTGTCATGATGAGCACCAGGTAATGTATGGAATTGTTGAATCACTATATTGTACACCTGAAACTAATATTAAGACTATATGTTAACTAATTGGAATTAAAATAAAAACTTAAAAATAAAAGAATCCTATCACTTAAAGATGCATATTAAAATATTTATAGATGAAATTATGTGATAACTGTTATTTACTTCAAAATAATCTGAGGGAGAGATTATGAATGTATAAATAAAACATAATTGGTTATGGGTTGATAATTATTCAAGCTGGGTGATAGGAACATGATGAGGGCTTAACATACTATTCTGCTTTTTTTTTTTTTTAACTGTTTTCTTTTGTATGTTTGAAATTTTCTATATTAAAAAATTTAAGGTTAAACATTCCAAGTCATCAATGACAGAATTTCAGACATCATAGCTGAAAATAAAGCAAACACCATTCATAAATGACAGCGACACTTGCAACTTTTGTTCAAGTTGCTTTGCTGCATTTTCTCAAGCTTTGAAGGAAAGGAGTAAGAACCAAACAAATTCTCTCTCAACAGGAAAAACTCAAAATAAACCTATTCTGATCTGCCTGCTCTTTGGAGGAAGAAGCCTAGGTTTTGGTTTATCCAATTGGCACCATGCTAGTGGGGTGATTGATGAAAGACAGCTGCTCAGAGGCTGACATTTAGAAAGAGAAGGAGACCAAGAACTATAAAAACCAGACATCTTATAACCACCAGGTAAAAAGCTGCTGCCAACCACAAAGTGTGCTCCCTGTGGCAGGACCTCTGAACAGTGGTGAGCACCAGCCACATCTGACCATTTACACAGTGCCTCCCTTACACTGTTCTCAATGAATTCTGGCAGGAGCACAAAGTCCCCAGAGAATGGACAGTGCTGGGGCAGTGACTCAGGTTTCCCTCCAGGTTCCTACTCCCATGTAACACTCCACACCTTTGGAGTTTTCCCTCTTTCAAATATTATTGGGACTTTTTTTTTTTTTAAGCTATTTCATGGTGCTAACTTGACAAGCACCTGAGCAAGGCATGACTCTGATTTCTGGTTAACAAGCTGGCTTTTTTCTGTGGTGGGTACCCAGAGTGCGTGCTGGTCCGTAGATATCTGAGTCTGCAGCCTCATCCAAAATGTGGTCTATGCTCAGCTCCTTATAGAAGCCAGGATGCTTTCCCAGGCTATCCCCCTTAGTAGCTTTGGAAAGCCAGCTTTCATTTCCAATCTTCATCAAGTCATCCAAAACCTGCCTCAAATGCTCAGGAGCAATAGGGATACAACCTTGGTTTCTAAACACCATTCTTGGGGTGCCTGGGTGGCTCAGTCGTTAAGCGTCTGCCTTCGGCTCAGGTTATGATCCCAGTGTCCTGGGATCGAGCCCCGCATCGGGCTCCCTGCTCTGTGGGAAGCCTGCTTCTCCCTCTCCCACTCCCCCTGCTTGTGTTCCCTCTCTCGCTGTCTCTTTCTCTGTCAAATAAATAAAATCTTAAAAATAAAAAAAAAATAAACACCATTCTTCAATAAAAGGAACTGAAGCTCCTTGGAGAAATGCCTGATAGGAGGACTAGGGAAGAACAAGCAGAAGATAAGCCTGGTACATCTTCTGAAGTAGAGCTCAAAAGAAATGATAGGGGATTATAAAAAAACACAGGATGTCAACTTAGGCATGCCCAATGGCCATATCTAAAACAAATGAGTATAAAATATATTATGGTAATGGATTATAACCCACAGAATAAAACAAATGTTGATGGATCCATACTGATATAAATAATTGATTAAATAAATAAATGGAGAAGAAAGAGCTCTCCCTTACAGTAGAATCCCAATTAATAAATGCAGAAGGAATGATGGGAAGAGAAAATCACCATCTGCCAAACAATTGTTGCAGGCAAGAATCACCAGTGGATACTAACTTAGTCAAAGGATAAGAAACAGAATATTTGCATAGTCTCAACGTATCTCCCAAGATAAACTTATTTACAAAGAGAAAAATAGCTTCATAGAGAAACCTCGCAAACACCACTTTAATCAAGTGATCAGTTACCGTCACTACTAACGAGGCATACTGACATCCATGCCCTGACATCACGCACCAAGAAAGACACGACACAACATCACTTCTGTGGCTGTGAAAAATGCATAACCTGAGTTTCACCATGAGGAAACATCAGACAAATCCAAATCGAAGGATTCTACAAAATAACTGGCCAATCCTCTTTAACACTGTCAAGGTCAAGAAAGACCAAGAAAGACAAAGAAAGGCTATGTCCCAGATTAGAGGAGACAAAAGAGATTTTAACAATTAAATGTGATCTAGTATCCTGAACTGGATCATGGACCAGAAATAAGACATCAGTAGGACAACAGACTAGTTAACTGTATGAAAGCCATATAAATTTCCTGGTTCTGATCATTATACTGTAGTCATGTAAGACGTTAACGTGAGGAGAAGTTAGGTCTAGGAAATAAGGGAACTCTACACACTACTTGTGCAACATTTTTATGTATGTTAAGTATAAAATTATTTCAAAATAAAAAGTTAAATTAAAAAAATGTTCCTCTTATGTATATTACTGTAGGACCTGGAGACTTCTCTGCAAACCTCCCAAACATAATGGGAAATCCCTTACAAATTCCAAAGTGTGCCATCTCAGGGCAGCAGGCAAAGTCCTAGGCAGCAAATTTAAGCATGTGAGCACATCCTCCTGCCTCGCATGGTATCAGAGGGTCTCTATGGGTAACCTCTCCCATCACGGCAGGGTGCCTGGAGGGAAGTAGGCGAGGAAGAATGCAACGCTCCTGCGGGAGAAACTACAGCAGAAATGAGAACAAGAGTAAATGCAACTCCTGCCCAATGGTCTTCATGTCATCCGTAACAAAGTTACAAAAAGACTATAACCTCCAGAGACAGAAGCCCTGTCTGCCCCAGTCCCTTGTAGTTACCCACATGCAGTAGAGGCTCTCTCTGAACTCAGTAGACCCTTCCTCTGAAAGATATTTGTCAGAAGGGAAGAAAAGAAATAATATGGAATGGCAAAAGATGAAATTCATAAGGCCACTAAATGTACACTTAAAGACTGCTGAGATGGTAAATTTTATGTGTGTATTTTACAATTTTTAAAAACTAACAAATGAAATTCAGTATATGCCCCTGAGCCTGTCAGCAGTATGCAAAACAACCTTCCCCATGTTTAAGAAACCTACTTATCTGAATGGTTAAAAAAAAAAAAAAAAAGTGTGCCCCTTGTAGCCACTTTGAAAAGCACCCAGGAGCTGAGGCAACCAACACACCATCTTGCCTCCTAATGAGCCCAATAACTGTCAAGCCTAATTGCTTTGTGGCGGGGCGGGGAGGGGGCACAAAGAGCAGCCTCAGGAGCCACGCTACAGTTAGAAGCCACACTCTCTCAGTGCTCTGAAGTAGAAAGCTGGGGAGAGGACCCTCCCAGCCTGAAAACTGGGGGTGGCAACAGTGATCGCTTAGCCCCTGCTTCCAAACCTCACCTGCTACCCTACAGCCTTGGCCATTTGCGCTAGCAGCAACCTCACTCCCATGACGCAGCATGATTGGACCCCAAGTCCTATAGCCCTCCACAACTGAGGCTAGGAGAACCACAACGGGCAGCCCAGAGCCTTACTGTAATACACGGCTGTACGTCCTTGCTTTAAAAAAAAAAAGAGAGAGAGATTCTTACCCCGTGTTTGGTGAGAAGGATGAATCAAAGGTCAGCTTCAGTCCACGTGCAAGCTGAACGGAAAAGAAATTTGCCAGGTTTAGTCAAAAGGCAGGGAAACAGATGTCAATGAATAAAACTGTGTCTCTTCCCGGGTGACCATTACCTGATCTTCCACAGTGATCTCTGTGCCTAGTGTGTTGTCAGTGTTCCATTTCTCTGTAAACGTCAGACCATATTCGGTCCATCTGTACTTGGTTTCCAGACTGCCCGTCACTTTGGTGGTCTCAGTGTTGGCTGAACCAGAGCTTGTAAATTCCTTTAAAGGAGAGAGAGAGTCACAGCCTGCATGCCAGCAGGACGCCACCCTGAACAGAACGTATGTCCACTTATGTAAGGATGTGTGGGGGCAAAAGCTATTCCTGTAATTCTAGTCAATATTTAAATACAGATGAGGCTAAAGAAGTCTGTTGATTAAAGGACTCTTGGGGAATTCTTTGTCAGGAGACAGCTTCCTTCCTCCCTGGTAATGCTTTAGTCTAGAAAGGAAGGCAATCCCCCTTCCATCCTATTAGAGAGAAAAAGCACTGAGCTAAAGATGACACTGCAGTAAATTAACCCCAAAACTTCCTCCTTCCCAACAACTGCCACACGCACAATCTATAAGGGACTACTAAAGGGGCGCCTGGGTGGCTCAGTCAGTTAAGCATCCGTCTCTTGGTTTCGGCTCAGGTCATGATCTCAAGGTTGTGAGATAGAGCCCCACCATCTTTGGGCTCTGCTCTCAGCGGGAGTCTGCTTGAGATTCTCTTCCTCACCCTCTGTCCCTCCCCAGCTTGTGCATGCACTCTCTCTCTCTAAAACAAATAAATAAATCTTAAAAAAAAAAAATAAAAGGAACTACTAAGATTTTTTTAAATAATTATGTGGCATTGAAAACAGGTCAATTTTTTTATTAAAGATTTTTATTTATTTACTTGAGAAAAAGAGAGAGAGCATGCACAAGTGGGGGGAGGGGCAGAGGGAGAAGCAGGCGATACAGGGCTCGATCCCAGGACCCTGGGATGATGACCTGAGCTGAAGTTAGACGCTTAACTGAGCCACCAAGGCGCCCCGAAAACAAGTCAGTTTTAAAATAAGAAACAAGGAAAAATAAAACTGAGGCCTGCCAATTGAGTATTAAAAGCTGTTAAATTGGGGACCTGTCGGCTGGGTTCCCCTGGACCACCCATCCCATAGAGGATGCAATGAATGTGACAACCACAG